ACGCTACACATTGGGCGCCGCGAGAGAATGAGGGGGCAAAGGGACCGGGCGGAGGGGTGGGTGAGGGGACCCCGGGTGGCGGCGGCTGCCGTCCACCACCGCGCTCTCGCACAACCCAGCCCGGCCCGGCACGCCTGCAGAGCCCAGGTACTTACGGCTCCTCACCATCCGCCATATTGTTCTCCGCCTCTTCCCAGGTGCCCCCACGGCGGGGCTGACCAAGCTTAGGGGCGGGGCCAGTGGGTAAAAAACGGGGTTGGCGGAGCGGGGCGGGGCCGGCGGAGCGGGGCGGGGCCAACTTCACCAACGTTCCCGTTGGCATTAAAGCTTTTCATTGTAATTATTATCTTGATTAACTACATTTAATTAGATAAGTCTTAGCCAGTGTATAATATTATGTTGCGTGAAAATACGGATGTAATACATTATATGTTTATACAACTTATATGTTAATAAATAATTATATAAAACGGTATATTCTTTGGAAAAAACTGGAAGAGACACCTAATATGCCAGATCTTCCATCTGAGGCAGAGCATGGGGGAATTTCCACTTTCTACTTTACAGGACAGTTCCAACATCTTTGCATAAAGGTACTCACTTTAAGAGTAAAATTTTTTCTAAATCAGTTCATAGGGGTGGGATAACAATATTATTTTCTTTCTTTGTTAATATTGTGCTGGCTCGAAAATTACTGCTTGGCTATTGCCCATGGGAACATAGGCTATCGCTCATGGGAACATAACATTCTAACAATAAGCTCTCTGCTTCTGTACCCCAGCTTCCACAACTGACCTGTGGGTTGACAGGTAGTGAATAGGAGAAAAATAGACCTTTGTGTTTCAGACAGAATAAGGAATGGGACTTAGGGCTTAAAAACTCTGTACCTCTACATTTCAGGGCTGCTTAATTTGGGGTCTGCGTACCCCTGGCAGACCCAGCTGGCTGAATAAAGAGTGTGATTCCTATGACTCACTAATTCCTGGTGGTCCATGTGTCTTTCGGAGGCTGGCGGCTACAAGAATATGAATATTAATATTATAGTGTCACATTATTCCGTCAGATAAGAAATTCAGGGGAAATGGAACTAAACTGAAAATTTTTTTTCTGAGAAAATATAATATTTAAGTAGAAGAAAAGTATAAAGGAAAAAAGCACAAGAATTAAAGAATAATTTAGAACACCCATGATCTCTTCACCTAAAGATAAATCGTGATAAAACTTTGGAGTAGGTATTTTCTTCCAGAGTCAGAAATTGATAGATTTGTGTGTATGACCGGATACAGAAAAATCATATTATATACAGATATACATACATGTATACATATATCCTTCCTTCGAGTGGGACAAGAATGAGATTTAGAATCAGAAAGAACTTAAATTTTTAACTCTCCATTTATTATCTATGAGACTTTGGGCTCGTCTCTGCCTTCATTTGCAAACTGAAAATATTCACCTCCATAGACTGAAAATGAAATGAAATCCAAAGTGGTTCTCAAAATATAATCCCTGATCATTTAGATAAGAATCATTTAGGAACTTGTTACAAATGCAAATTTTCCGGCCCTACCCCCAACCTTCTGTAAAGCCTTGAAGGTTTCTATGAAAAATAAAACTTGAGAACTGCTAAAATGCAGTACTATATAAAGCTTGATGGGTATTCAGTAAATATAGTTGTTAATAAATTATGATATTTAATCACTTCTGTCTTTTATCATCCCCCAATCAGGTTCAATGCATTCATTGAAGCAAAAGTCAGTGCCAGGCAATAAGTGGCGGGATAGAGTCTACAGTCCACAGTCCATAGCAGGAGACACCAGCTTCTTTCTAGGTCACATGTCTCAATATCAACCTAGAAACTGCTTTTCCTTGCCCAGACTACTCTGCAGATGAAAACTGTTGAGGTTAAACCCTTCCTCCCAGCAATGATAGTTTCAGGAGACCTTTTGATTAGTGGTAGGGAGCATCACAACCCCCTCAGATGGTAAAAACCAATAGGTACCTTAAGTATCACCTAGACTAAACTCACCCATTTCACAGGGAAGGAAGTTGAGGCCCATGGACAGGATGCTACTTGCCCATGAAGAGGTCTGCAAAGGCATCTGGTCCTGCATCTTTGTGCTTTGGAGCTAACATCCCGACTCATCGTGATGGTATTTTGATAGATCACAGAAGGCATTCCCACTGGCTCAGACTGACATTAAACAGCCACCTGTGCTTGCCAGTAATGAAAGTAACAGAGATATACAAGTGAAACCTTCAACAGACACTTCATTTCAAACAGAATATATCATAAACTATTAGTCTATCCACTATGGTTGATACACTGACAGATAAATATATTCAGAGTGGTCCTATGTAGAAACACAAGTCTGGGTATAAGAGCACCAGGAAGGCCTCTACAGTGAATCTGACCCCCCGAAATGAACAGTGACAAAGAGCTGCTACTAAGAGCATTTCAAACAGTGCCTGCAATAAAGTAAGGATTCCATATGTGTTTATTTTTATTAAAAATGATTTTATGACTGAAGGGGAGCAAAGTTTGCCACCCCTTGGGATATTATTTTAAGTTACTTATTTTTACGAAATGAAAGACAGGAAAGTTTCTAGAATTTTTCCCTAACTACCTAAAAGAATTTAGATAGAGGACCTGCTCCAGGAAGGGAGCTATTATCATAGATAACCATAGTTCATCATGAACTACTGTGTAACAGAGAGGAATCTAGCAAAACATGTTTGATCAAAGCCTTCTCTGTACCATTGTTAAAGATGTCCCAGCAAACATTTGTTTACCAAACATTTGCTTTTCCTTCTCCATGTGGATAGCCTTCCTTCCCTTTGAAGTTCCAAACCACAACCCAGGTTTTTCCTTAACTCCAGATGACATATAATCCTCAACTGGGGGCCTCATATTTTCATGGAAGCTCCATATGTACATATATAATTAAATTTAATTATATTCTCCTGGTACTCTGTTTCATGCCAATTTGATAATTAGACCAGCCAGAAGAACTAAGAGAATAGGAAGGAGGACAAAGGTAGAAATGTATAGTGGGAAAAAAAATCCCATAATCCAAACAGAAGGGGAAGCATAGTTAACGATTTTGGAGATAGAGAAAAGGGGATCATGCTCCATACCACTGCATCTGACTTTTTCCATTTCTTATTTATTTTTAAACCTTTTTGGAGGTTTAATCAAATAAATAAAAATACACTGAACAAATGTTTACTAAATATCAATTGCCTGTGATCAATGAGTAATCATATTATTACTTACACACATTTGATAGCTTATGGTCATGTAGAACTGAGCAATCAGAAGGCAAAAGTTCTTGATCACAGTGGGGCCCAACTAAGACTCCTACACTGGTCTTGACCAAGAGCATTTACTCCGCTTGCTCACAGTGCTGCTTCTTGAAATTCGTAAACCCTAGGGAATTCTTCTACATCCTCTGACTTCCTGTAACTGAGTACCAAGGCCTGGCACATCTCAAGATAACACTCCTCTCACTGTTTTGTATTTAAGTTGGTGTTTCTACTGCATTACAAGATCCTTGTAGGCAGGGCAAGGCTGAATTCTTCTCAACTTTTTCATCTCTCACAATGCTTTTATAGCCTTTAAAGGACTCAAACTATCTGGTGATATCATACTGAAAATTGTCAACCTTTGTTCCCCTATCAAGTCTACCAAGATACAACCACAATAAAATTACAAGAAGATAGAGAAAAGTCAGTGGATGTTCATTATGAAAGCATAGAAAACAAATTAGGTTAAAGGACTATTAATATCATGGTATCAGAGCAATTACTATACACTAAGTACCTCTCATCCACTCTTTTATTTATCTTCAACTATACAGGAGATGTTCTTATTATACTCACTTTACACAGGAAGAAAATGAGGCTGGAGGAGATTGATTTCTCCAAAGTCACTCGCAAGAAATGGAGGAGCTAGGACTCTAATTTTGCTCTCTCTGACATTAAATCTTCTCATCTTTCCATAATCAAGAAAATGTGAGAGTTCAGGAATATTTTTACATTTTAAACTTTATTCAACACCAGTGACAGTATTTTCTTAGTCATTGTGACTAACTTAACTGCCTTCTGAATCATGTCTTCTAGACTTTACATTAGGTATATTTTGTTGATTTCTGATTTGTTTTTGAAAATTGGTGGTCTGAGGAGAGTGAATTCAGGTTTTTAAGAACAGCACCACTGGCAGGTTTAGAGATTGTTTGTTATTTTAGACACTAGCATCTCAGGATTTGCCTACCATGCTATGCAATGAACTAAAATATTTTTTTCTGCTACATTTGAGTTAAAAGGTTTATTGTACCAAGTAGCCCCTTAACTTAGTAAAGAAGACTCTTTGGAAGCCTTAGACAGCAATTTACAACTAAATTATGCTGGGATACAAAGCTATCACATTATTATTTGTTTGTTTGTTTGTTTGTTTGTTTACTTACTTATTTATTTTATGGTAACATTGGTTAATGAAATCCAATAAGTTTCAGCTGTACACCTTAACAGTAAGGCATATATATATATATATTTACACTGTATGTTCACCTCTCATAGATTTCTTTCTGTCACCACGTATTTGACCCCCTTTACACATTATCATTTAAAACATTGCGTGCTCTTTTATTAAAAGTTGTCACCAAATATTAGGATAAAACTGAGAAAGATCTTTTGGAGTGGAATCCATGTTTCTGCCCAGAACAATTAGTTCACTGCAGACCATTGTTTGTTTTCAAATGTAAGCAATATGCCCAGAAATAGGGCTGAAATGACCAGAGTGAACACTGTATCAGAATTTTGCCCTCAGAAAACAGGGATGGAGAACAAAGAAGAAAAGTAACAAATCAACCCCTCCGTTCTACACGTTCTTCTTTCTAATTTTGTCAATTCGATTTCATTCATAGTGACTCATGGTGAAACAGAAAACACGAGAATTACATTCAGATGTGCAGAGGTAAGTAATGACTTAGTTTTCAAAACCAACTCATCCTCCAGTGTCACTATAGTTGCCTTCCATTCCATTTCAATTAGACTGGCATCTGAACAGCTGCAAAAATTTTCCACAAGGTCTAGAACACATTCCTAGGTTAAACAGAAGGGGGATTTTTAATGGGGGCTGATCGTATTTGGCTTGCCAGGGAAGGCATCAGCACCTCGCATCAGACAGAGGATTTCCGCTGGTTTCTTTCTGTCATTTCGTCTTTATTTTGCATTTTGCCCCTTGCTCTGTCGCGGGGCCCCAGTTTTCCTGTTACCAACCACTTAGAGCCAATCAAGAAGTAAAGAAGAGAAAAACGCCCTCCCGCTTTGAATTTCCTTTGCTTCGCTGCTCTCCAACCGCAGAGCCGACAGAGGCAGAGCTGCTGTCATCTCTAACTTAGCTCAGCTGATCAGTTGCTGCCGCCGCCGCCGCCAAATTCCAGAGGCAAAGAACAAGAAGCTGAGAGACCAGCCATGGACGTGAATATCCCCCCGCTCCGAGCCTGGGACGATTTCTTCCCAGGTTCTGACCGCTTCGCCCGGCCGGACTTCAGGGACATTTCTAAATGGAACAACCGCGTGGTGAGCAATCTGCTCTATTATCAGACCAACTACCTGGTGGTGGCTGCCATGATGATTTCTGTTGTGGGGTAAGTGGGGTCTCCCTTCCGGGCACTGATCGTGGGCAGCAGCATGGAGGGGGCTCAGGGTACAAGATTCCGGCATGCAGAAACGCTCTCCACGCCCAGCACCGGCTCTGGCGACTGCAAGAGGCCAATCCAGTGGAAACTCGTTCGCAGATCCAGGCCGCAGCAATCTGGGGGAGCCCCATTTCCTTTCGGCGCCTGAGGCTGAGACGTGAGGGGGGGTCCCTAAGAGTAAGAAATGTTGCGAACTACGGACAAGAAAAATGATATCTCTTCCCTCTGTGCCCCGATTACGCTGTTGTTGGGGAAAATATTTGTAGCGCCCCTGTCTTTTAAAAGGAAAGTGGTGTAACCTTATCCTGGGGCTAGCTAGGGCGGACGCCGCCCTGGGAGGGTTGGGGCGGCGGGGTGTGGATCCGGACTCTGCCTTCTAGGGGTGGTAGTGTAGAAAGGGTATTAAAGAGGCGACGCATTCTGTGGATTTCTCCGCCTAGTGCCTGCCATACTGTACAGGAGAGCTGAGCTTGGGAGCAAGAGGATGGGTGTATCCTGGTGGCGTTTCTCTCAGTGTGTGATTGAAGGCTGGGGTCCTTTCGCTATTTCTTCCAGGTGTTGCTGGGCGTGGTCACTGTCTCTACACTTTCTAGCCTGTGGTCTGTGTATTGAAGGCTTTTTCAACACCTAATCTTAATATTAAAAATGTCCCAGGTTATACACAGTCACGCACACTTGCTGTGCTAGAAACCACCTTCTCTTGTGTAGTTCACCCTTTAAGGAGTGCTTCTCTTACTTTTACAGAATGCGGCGGTGATATTCTAGATCTCGCTTATCATATGCATCTTTAAAGAAAAAGCTACCCTCAGTTATAAAGTTATAAAGTAACTCATTTGCCATTAAAGAAGTGTCTGACATTTCTACTTGAGTAAACACAGAAGGAAAGAGCTTGGGAGAAAGGAGAAATCCAAACTTGGAGATTTGTGGGAAAGGGCGAAGAGGGTGGTTTCTTAAGTTGGTTTGCTATTCTTTGGCTTATTTATTGAATCCAGGCTTGGAGCCCAGCGAGACCAATCAGAGATGAATTCAGGCCCAAGGGCACGTGGCAGTTTTTGAGAAGCTACAGGGCCAAATACACAGCACAGAGGAAAGAGTTCACAATCTCTGGGTGTGCTTCAGAGTAGTTACCCCTATGCAGAAAAGGACACTCATTTGTGGGGTTTCATAGACAATTAATTACTCAGATCCTCATAATGTGTTGCTTAAGGAACTGCAGACTCTGAGAATGGCTTGGTGTGTAGAGGGCAGGGGCTCTGAGCCAACCTTGAATTAGAGTGGCAGCCAAGTTAAAATTAGTTAGGGTAGGACAGGCCTGAGGCAGCTGCCTTCTGAACCTTTCCCTAGCTTTATGCCTAAGGCTTATTTCATGACACACTAAAAAAAAAAAAAAAATTAAAATTAAATGAATCGTAAATAGGATCGCACCTGTTGTTTTGCTTTCTTTTTTCTCATTTTGTAAAGAAGGGAGCAGGATATCATAGCAATCTAGTTATGGGTTTGTTTTTTGTTGTTGTTTTTGTTTTATTTTGTTAAGGTAACTCAAAAACTTAGATATAGGGCAAAGTTTGACACAGACCAAGCAAATGAGCTGAAAAAACCACTGCTTTTCAGAAGTGTATTGCCCATACCAAACACAGCTCAGGCATTTTTGCTGTCTTGATGGAACCCATTTTTCATAGGGAGGGCCAGAGGCCAGCTCCTCATTATGGGGTCCACTAACTCAGCCAGTTTGGAGGCATTGGCCCTTCCTGTTCCCTTTTTCAAATGAAAGATGTTGGTGGGCAGTGAAATTTTTGAAGATAAACATTAAAAATAACCATGTTTATTTTTTTTATTCTTAGTTTTAAAAACTTACAAGCGATAGAGGCCAGTAAGTTGTAAGTTGTTTTGAAAGCTATGTACAAAATGTGAGATTTCCTTTGTACCCCAGTAAAAATTTAATATTTTCTTTGTCTACAAACACAGTCTGTAGTTTTTTCCACAAATTGCCCTTTTCTTTTTTTTTATAATCTAGCAATAATAAAAGCTAATATTTTTTAGTGTTCTGTGTGCTAAATTCTTTGCTAAGTAATTTACTGTATTCCCTCGTAAAACCCAATATTATTATTATTGTATTATTTTTATTAAACTTGAAGCTTAGAGAGGTTAAGTGACTTGCTCAAAGTCACAGCGAGACTTATGCTTTTAACTATTGTGCCATCTTCCTTCTCTATGAGTCATGAAGTCTAGAGTTATTCTCTTAAAGCTAGGAGAAACCAAGTATCTTCAGGGTCAGGGACCTTAGCTGATTCTGGAATATTTCTCATTCTAAGAGAGCTCTCCTCATTTGGTGATGTCAGTAGGTGGGTGGGTTGTAGAGGTCCTGGAGGCTGTTTATCCGAATCCTCTACTGGCATTTGATAGTTTCTCATTTATCTTGGTAGAATGTGTATGAAAATGTGGCCTGGTTGTTTATTGGGAAAAGGACTGTGTTCAAAGGTTGTTATTCAATTGTTCCATCAACTGCTGGTGAGGAGGGGCCTCCAGGGCATTGTTGGAGAGCTCTAGTCTCAACTCTGAATGCTCTTGTGTGGAAAACCTGCTTGAGGGAGAGTATAGACCTGCTTTTCAAGATTGCAGGAAGGGAGATGGAAGACCAAGAGGATATCATCTAGCTCCAAAAATACTGGAAAGGGCTGCCTGTACCAAGGTGAAGATTAAGAGGGATTAGAGTATAGATAAATCTGTGTATGGGACCTGATTAAACAAGTCCTGATTATCCATGTTCAGAAGTTTGATCTTCATCTTAACAGCATGGTTTACCAGGCACATGACTTCCACTTAGTAGTTCTACTATGATTAATTATGAGTAAGTCTCTTAGTTAATAGCCCTTGCTGAAGACAGTTGCCATATCTTCTGACTCTTCAGGTAGTATAGGGTAGTGGTTAAGAGTTTAGGCACCAGAGACAGATTAGGTAAATTTTAAATCCCAACTGCCAGTCACTAGCCATGTGACCTTGAGGAAGTCACTTGAACCACCCCGCGCTTCAGCTTCCTCATCTGTGAAATGAGACTGACTAATTGTAGTACCTGAGTTAATATAGTCAGGTCCCTTAGAACAATGTCCAGCCCCAAATTTTGCTTCACAAATGTTACTTATTATTTTTATCATTGTTGGTGTTGCCATAGAGATTACTGAGAAATATAATAGTATCTTTATTCCAGCAGCTGTATCCATCCAAACTCTAGTCTCCATCTTACTCATCTCCTCCTGCTTTTCCTACAAGACTCAACTTTGGTACCATCTTTTTGAGGAAACATTATCCCTTTGTCCCTCACTCTCTTGTGTTAATTGGGTCCCACACCTATGCCTGTATCTTTCCTGGTACTTACCCCACAGGCTTTTAAATTGCCTCCACTCTGGACTATAGACTCCATGAGAACAGAGACTGTGCATTTTCTTTGTAATTTTTTTTCTTGCTATTGTTATTGTTATTTTTATTTTCTGTATCCCTGAGACCTATATAGCAGATGCTTAGCTGGTGTGTGAAAAAAGTAAATAAATGAACTGTAAGGCCTCAACATAATCTCAGGGGCAACTTTTAATTTATTTGATGGGAAAAATTATTTTGAAGCATATAGCAGTATGCCGGTACATAATAACGACATGCTCCTAAAATGATTCTAACTGACATCACCTGCTACATATTGGTTAAGATTACCATAGTGTGTAAAAAATCAATTTAAAAAAGTTACAATTCAGACTAATTCATATTGCTCTTGTAGAATTTTGATGAACTACTCTCTGGCAAGACTTCTCAACCTCAGCACTGTTGACATTTTGGCTTGTGTAATTCTCTGTTGTGGGGGCTGTCATGTGTGTTGTAGGATGTTTAGCAAAACCCCTACTCTCTACTCACTGAATGTCAGCAGCACCTTCTCCTTAAGTTGTGACAATCAAAAATGTCTGCAGACATTGTCGAATGTCCCCTGGGAATCAAAATCTCCCATGATTGTGATTGAGAACCTCTACTTTACTGCCAAAAAAATTGTGATGATTCTTCAACATTGTCTTCATGAAATTCAAGTTGCTTTATAACAAGTTACGAAAAGAATTCTTAGCAATTAATAGCAAAGCAACTTGACTTTAGCTCCTGACTTTTCAAACATAAGAATGGAGTGGATTTGAAGCTTTAAATAGCTTTGATCATTTTCCTTAATTTATTGATTGTTGGGCTATCATTCTTTTATTAGTCTGCCTTGGAGACTTTACTGGCTCCACAGACTCAGTCTTTTTATTTTTTGACAGAATTCTGACATTTGCTTTTCTTGGCTTTCTGCTTAAAAGTTCATTTGCTCTTGAGTTCCACTGCTATAAAATAGGAATTAAATGACTTAATCTAAAGCACATTAAGGTCTAGCAAATAACAACACTCAAATGTTAGTGTTATTGTATTAAATCCTAGGTTACCAGCATATTTAAAATTCTCACAACTTGTGTATTCTCATAGGCAGAAGTATTAAATGATAAATACACTTTAGTGGTTTTGTCTTTATTGCAACTTACATTGTTTGTAAAATTTTGCTTCCCTTGAAGACTTGAGTTTCCTTTTGAAATTCAGGCATCACTTCAGAAGAGATTGAATGACTCAGAAGGAATAACATGAATAACAAGCTAGGTGATGTGTTTTACTGAAAATGGCTTTGTGTCCTTTAAATCAAGATAGGAGAGATGTGTAAGATTGAAGAGGACATGATTTACTTTCTACACACTCGACACTTGACATCTTGGCACTAGATGTTCTTTTTACATCACATATAGCAATAGAAGTCTGTGCCTCTATTTTTAAAGTGAAAAGCAATAGAAATCTGTGCCTCTATTTTTAAAGTGAAAAGCAAAAGCAACACCTAGTAGCACTTGCAATTTAAGTACTAAGCATGTGATACATTCTAGTTATGGACAGGAGTT